CCAAATCTCCAGGGTTAAATAAATGATACATCATATATCATGCAAACCTCGTAAAAACTTTCAGCCTTTCCATTCTGGTGAAAAAGGAAGACCAGCAAAGCTGTACTATGGTGGGACGACCTCAAGGACAATGCCTAGAGGATGACATCTAGGACGACCTCAAGGACGACGTCTAGGATAACCTCAAGGACGACTTCTAGGACGACCTCAAGAACGACTTCTAGGACGACCTCGAGGACAATGCCTAAGATGACCTCAGGGACGACGTCTAGAACGACCTCAGGGACGTCTTGGACGACTTCAAGGACGTCTAGGACGATCTGAAGGACGACTTCTAGGACGACCTCGAGAACGTCGAGGACGACCTCAAAAGATGACCTCGAGGACGACGTCGAGGACAACCTCAAGGATGACTTCTAGGACGACCTCGAGGACGACACCTGTCGTCGAGAACGATTTCTAGGACGACGCCTAGAGAAATTCAGCCTTTCCACTGTGGTGAAAACCAAAGTGGAAAAGCAGGAAAGGTTGTCGCCACCTATGAGCAACGGCAGCAACCGGCAAGCCGGTTGTCTGGTTGCTGCCTTCGCTCATAGGTGACTGTAGCTGACTAGAGTTTTGTGACGACATTTATTTGGTTTCAGGCACGAAACTGGGGAAACTAGCCCTTAACAGCTCCGCTGTAAAAAAGGCTCGAGGTACACCAAAGCACTTCTTACGAGTTGTGAATGCGAAAGCATGAATGTCGTTCTTGCGAGCGTTCTCATGAAGTGGCCGCGCTGTGCTCGGAGTATGCTCGTGCGGGCTCTCGCTGGGAGGCCTCGCCAGCCAAACGCTTCCTCTTCCCAGCGCGCTCTGGCAGGGCTTTATATGGCGCGGGCATATAGCGCCATGGGGTGGCTCCCCTTGAAACTGACGTGCCCCGGTTAATGGGAGCCTTGTTCCTTGCAACTATGTGCGCGCCAGCCAATGGGAGCCCTATCCATGAGATTTCGGCTTCAGTTGGAGAGGGGAATTTATTTGCCGTTTGGCTCGGCTCTTTGCGTGACTTCAAAGCTGGGATGCCTCAGGTCGCGGCTTCACTTCGCTCCATTGGGAGGGGAATTTATCTGCCGTTTGATGCAGCAGCTGATGACATCAGCTTGCTCCATGGGACAGTCAAGGCTTTCGCATTAATAATGCACATACAGTAATCCCTTGATATAACAAAGTCAACGGGACAGAAAAAAAAAAAATTGATATAAGCCGCAATTAGATAAAACCAATACAGTCGCCGACCAATTATTCGGACTTCGCTGGGACCGAAAAAACGTCCGAATAATAGAGCAGTCCGAAAAATCAGCAGATTGAAAAACTTGCCTTTATTACTTCCAAGTGGGCTTAAAAAAGCCGTAAATAGTGCCTTGGTTCAGGTTACGCCTGCGTGCCTTGTTTTAGGTTACGCCTCCGTTTCCGTTCGACAGCTTTCTGTTAGCTTGAGAATCGCTGCTTTCTTTTCGAGCGTTATGGTCGAGTAGCAGAAGAACAAATCGGGCCATGACGTCCAAGCCAGCGTTGTCCGAACGAGATCAGAGGCGCAAATCCACGAGCGCAAAATGGCAACTGGCGACGCGAAGGAACGAAAAACAAAGCAAAATGATAATGATGATGATGATGGGCAGCTGAATGGGAAAAGAAGCAAAAAAAGGGCTAGCATAGCGTCACCTAGCGGTAGGACTCAGGAGTGCTCAAGTAGCGCTGCCAAACCAAGCCAATCCATTGGCAGCCAACATAGAATTCAAAATGGCCGCTTCTCGATGGTGTTTTCCGCTGATCGCTCGCGACGATTTTGTCCGAATAATCGAACTTTCGGACTTCAAGCTGTCCGAAACATTGGTCGTGAATATACACTATTTCTATGGGTTAAGTCCAATTCCGCCTTTAGGTCCGAAATATAGAACAAGTCCGAATTATCGGAGTCCGAAAAAACGGTTGCCGACTGTAGATAAAAAAAAAACAGCGGCAGCAGTCTGGAAGGTGGACGGGAACAATGCGGAAGGCTCTGACCGTATATTTAATCAAACAAAACTCGGTTGTAAACATGTCACGGTAGCTTTACCGAGTAAAAAAATAAGTAAGTGGAGTTTACAGATACTTTTATCCAGAGCATCAGTTCTCGAACCGCTCCATTCATCACAACAACGCTGTCACAGCCACGTACCCGCAGTCACCGGCGTTTCCCAAGGTGCCTCTTTGACGTCGCTTGGTGATTACCCTGACCGCATGCAAGGTCTACGATAGCAGCATCCGTGGCAGGAGCAACGGGAACATCCGCATCGACAAGCACGAAGAATCAAAGTTATCCTCGGTGGCTTTGCCAACATGTTTTCCCAAACTCTTGTAGAGATCGTTCCACCTATAGGAATCGTGCGCCAGCTTCAAGCATGCTTGCGAGAGAAAATTTGACATGCGCAAAACGGTTGGCGATTGTTTATCTTCGGGTAACGGCTGTACTTTCTCTTGCAAGAGAAACTTCTCGAACCCGTCCAGTATGCCTTGGTTTCTTGTTCTGCAAAATGGTGGGAAGTGTCGAGCAGGCGATACCGGAATGTTGAACTCTTCGGCGATTTCAGACCTTGGGCTGGCCACTTTTCTGAACTCCGCAGATCTAAGCGACTTTCGGTAAACAGATGCGTCGCACATACTGGATGGGTTCAAAACGTTTCCCCAGGCACGCGCTTGGAGACTCCCAAAAGGATGATCTCCTTTGGGTTCCAGTGCTCCCTTGACCTGATTCCGACAGGAGTCGGGCAGCAACAGCCGCGGGCGCCGTGAGTAGCATCGGAACGTGGATGCTGCTTCCTGGCCGCATCGGCATCAGAAGCACCGCTCTGCTGTTCTGCACGCCGTGCCCTCCGTCACCCGTTTGCTCCGTTTTCTCGTCTGCCATTTTCCCAGTTTGCAGCTTTCCTCGGTGGAGAAGGGGGAGGAAACGTAGAAGGTCTCTGTGCGTCTCCGTGTAGGCTCGCGTGCTTTCGGTACCTCAGCCGTCGTAATAAACATGGTTGGCTCCCGATACACTTCGAATAATCCGGTTCAAAATGCATGCCTTCCGTTCGGGACCCCATGAAACACCTCACGTCGTGTCGTGTCGTGATGTGAAATGTCATGACGCCATCGAAGGCGCCACGAAAATCCATCGAAGCTTCACAGACATCCACCAGGTGTTTTGGCTATCGTTTATTTCAGTTTAAAATGTTTTTTATGCGTTTTCCTACGAAGTACTGGTGTTCGGGAAGTCTTACTTTAACCCGCTTCATGTTGAGGCGAAGAAATGAGCTCCAAATTTTGGTTTCCGTACCCCTTTAGGAGGAAAGCTCATTTCCAAAGTCGGACAGTGCATGCGTGCGCCGGATGTATTTAAAGGGGCCCTGCAACAGCTTTTTTAGTGGTTTTTAATTTGCACCAAACCTGAGCGCACTGAACGTAGTAACTTAATGAAACCTTCCTTCTCTCGAATTTCGCTTTATTTTAAAAGTTACATGCAAATTAAAATTACAAAAACAAGCAAAAAATAACCTCTTTCATGACGTCCTTGGTTGTGGCTTGGTGGCCGTGAACTAGAGGAGGGGTAGTGAGCTCATCGAGCGCTCACGGCTGCCGCACTCAGTGTCGACGGCTCAAGAGGGCGCTGCTAAAGCATGTGCTAGATTGGCTGTATGAAGCGCCGCGGCCAGGGCAACTCACATTGCATTTGCTGCGCGATTAAACACTAATTCGGCATTACACTTCATTGGCCACAAACGACAGCAAACACGGGGTAAAGATCAATTCAGAATAAGAGCCACTTCGCGCTGCCATACCGCCAAATGGCCAAATCGCAAGCCAAACCGCTCGCCGAAGGCCTTCAAAACGCTCGGAACCGGTTGGATCCTCGAGCCCGTATGCGACTGCAGAGCCGTCGTGTACATCCGGGACCTTTCTACGCTCGCTACTCATCGGTGCATGATCCCACTACTCGTTTCTAGTATTCGCCGCCTTTTCCACCGCTTGGTGGTGGGTACGTCAACGGGTCATTTTTTGTTTCCATACTTTATAAACTGCATTTGTTTTGTTTTTCTGATCTAAAATACTGAACAATAACAACTTTCATAAATAATTGAAACAAATTCGCGCCACTTATATTTTGTACTTCGACTTAAAAAAGCTTTTAGCGGCTCTGACCAGTAGTAAGCCCAGTACCAACGATGTCACATATCGCGCGCTTTCAGCACCGCGGGTCGCCCCCGTCGGTGGAGGAGGTTTCCGTGTCGTACGGTTAAAATACGACGTACAGATATTTAGTTACTCTCTACGTGCCCGCTGGCTTGCCTGAACCCCAAGAGAGGTGGAAACCGCAAAAAAGGTAGACTTTTCATTATAATTGCAGGGCCCCTTTAAAAAAGAACAACGGAAAGTTCAGAATGTTGATATCTACATTGTAGTCAAAAAGTAAAATTTTCAAAACTAAACTGGCACGGACATGTATAGTTTAAGCAGACATGCCCTGACAACCTGCGCTAATCATACATGAATGAAGAAGAGATATTTGCATATAGCAAGAATATTATAAATTTCCTGTATTAGGTATAGTTGGGCATCCCATTAGGTTAAAATTTTATGTCAAATGCGTCTTTACTTGCCATCCCAATGTAGGCGTTGAGCATTCGGAGGCTGCAGTCAATAAATATAGTTAGACCAAAATTAACTTATCTTAGAAATAGACAAGTGGAGGCTTGTCAACAACCTTCACAAGTTCAGCTGGGTTTTCATTTATGCATGTTGCAGCACCAAAAGGTTTAGGGGAACTGTTCCATATTGGATTCAAAAATATTCGGCCAAAACCACCATTCGCTTCGATGTCAAACTCCACTATTCACACATGCCTAGATATCCTACATCTTTAATGAGATGCAGGGTGAGAGCTTACTTTATGCTACGAACGGAGGAACTCTCCAGCTCGCAACTAGAGCGCAACCTACCTGTGCACCATCTCAACGAGAGGCCCGTGCTCCACCCCGACCCCCGCCACCACCATTCTCTGGGGCACGTAGTGGTGGCTCAGGAAGGTGTACAGCACCTCCCTGCTCACCACCCCCAGGTTTTCCCGGGGGCACAGCTTGGGCAGGCCCAGGGTGTTGTCCGTGTATGCCGCCTGCAGGAACGAGGAAGAAAGGCGCACCCTCTCAGCAAGCAATACGAGCTACACGTCCGGGCTTTTGTATGCACCTTCGGTGAAGGTTAATAAATCATACAAGCTTCGTTATGCTGACAAAGAAATGGGTCCCACATAAACCACACCCCTCCCTTTGTCATCTGTGCTAGATTTTTTAAATTTTTATTATCACTTTTTTAATATATATTTAATCCTCTTTTTTATGCATTTTACGTTATTTTAGCTAGCTTTTGTTCATTCATTTTTAATAATATATTCATTATTTATTTCATAACATGCCACTCTCGCCGACATATTTTGAATCGTTCACCCTTCAAGGGAAGCTGTGCTACACAGTTCAGTCGATATCGCCTGCGACTGCCGCTGCACCAACCCAGGTTCCAGCCCCGCTGGGGCGCCTTTCATACGTTGATTTCACGTGGGCCTTTGCAAGTTTTTCATCGCTCCACTCCTTTGAAGCTGGTAAGTGCGAAAATTTTGCACCTACGCACACCAATCATCGCGCTGATCTTTTGCTACAGTTAGTAAAACCATCTTCCCCCCCCCCCCCCCCCCCCCATAAAAATGTTGGGGCGAAATACATTTGTTCGGCCTTTTAGGCCCCTAGCCGTTCCGGCGTACGCTTAGCTCGCCGAGTTAGGCTCAGCCGGGAGCAGGGCTCCCCACCCGCGACGGCGGCAACATGGACGAACCCATGAACGCCGCACCCTCAATCAACGGCGGCAGAAAACAAAGGTTTTTAGACGATCGACACGCCTCTGTGGAAGGAATCTCTATTTACCGAGAACGAAGCTCGAACAACGCCTACGAGGCGTTCGGTCCGCGCAAGGACGACTCTAAATGGCATACGGTCGGGTACGGGGAAACGACAACTCATTGACCCTTGACGGGTGGACGTCGAACGAACAGGGCACGACAAGGCGATAGTGATCCTTTGCCCCATGGGGCAGTGGGCAGTAATCGAGGTCAACAAATACACACTCCTCACACTTGCCTGTACCACGGCAGCGTCGGCCATCAGGCGCCCTCGCGCCAAACTGCCCGGGGGCATCTGCCATTAATATGCAAATGCTCTCCGTGGTTGGAGTCACTCCCTCCCTTAAATCAAGGCTGTCTCCGTTGGTACCCTGCCGCTAGCACGAACAATGTATGAATATACGGGCAAATACTGAATAATCTACGAGCGGAACATGCCCTGAACATTAATAGCTTCCTTAAAAGCCGCGTTTAGTTGTCCAAAATTACGGGTATTGTAGCCATTTTTCTATAAACCCTCACCGTCTACACTATACAAAGAATTACCGCCTTCGCACGATCCTAAAACGCCCCCCCTTCTAACTCGCAGGCAGATTTAACTGCCAGATATTCAAGAAATTGCTGCCGATTCTTCCGCACAGGTAAAATAATGAAGGCCGTACACATACCTCAAAGAACATATTTTATGAAATGCAAGCTAACAGGAAAATAAATACAGTGCACTAGTCACCATTGTTCGAGTCTGACGATGGTTCTTCGTGGTCTACAGAGGTAAACTCCTTGCTTTCGTCTAAAGCGTTTCAGGGGCCGCACTTCTTGTGCTTGTACGAGTGCGCGACTGTCGCCTCTGGGACCGTCGCCTCGTCTTCCAAACAACACTTTACGAGCTCGTCGGGTCGCTGGGATTGCGAGGCCATGCAGTGCTGCTCTGTTGTTATCTTTCCCGCCAACGTGATGACCTTTAGTCTAAATTTCTTTTAATTTTCCACTGGTTTTCCATTCTAAAACGGCAGACAGGAGTTCACAGATGCGAGAGAATGCGCGTGATACGGACACCAAAATGGCGAATGTAAACAAACGGTTATGATGGCGATGGGGTTAGCCACTTTCGGTGTTTGATTTTGATCGTAACACGCATGACCATTGGGGCACCGATTTTGATGAAAAAGCGTGCATTACAATTGTACAAATACAGTACGCGCTAGCTCACAACGGAGGAGCAGTTTTTGTTTTTGTTTTGCCAAGTCTGCATCGTAAGTCCCTTTTCTAGTGACCTGATATTCTCTGCTACAGGAGTGCTTCTTCGCAGCGAAAAGGAAGTGCTTATGTACTGAACATGTGGAACAATTCTTTTCTTGCATGATAATTTGCAATAATAGCATCAGCAGCTGATATCTAACTTGCTGGCTAGTCAAGGGCAATTTCAATTATTTTCTTAAAAAACGGTCATTACCACTTGTTCGTGCGACAACATTAGAGGCTGCATTTTTACATGCTATCTAAATGTGCAGTTTTGTACACTCTTAGTTTTGTCAATCTGCATAACTTATCGGTCGTACCTTTCATGTACAGTTGACAGATGATTACTAGTCAAGGTATGATAGCTGTGTTATCAGTTGCATTGTTTATATGCTGCCTAGTCAGGTAGTTTTATTTACTGGAATTTGTTAACATCTTTTTTTGGTTTTGAAGGTAAAAAAGAAAAGTATTTCTATATTTTCTTTTGTCATTTCTAAATGGTACACACATATTTTAAACATACTGTAAACAACTTCTTATTTTTTACGGGGAAAATTTTTCCCGATTTAGGTCAAACCTGAAGCTTGGGAATATGTAATTCGCAGATTCTAATTTTCGCGACGCGGTGGGATCTCAATATAGATTCAATCTGTTTATATTTCACTGGAATTGCTTGTGCGACCTATTTTTCGCAAACCGTAGGCGATTCGCGAAACTCGCAAAAATACAATATAGATTCCAATCTGTTTATATTTCACCGGAATTGTTTGTGGGACCTACTTTTCGCAAATTGTAGGCGATTCGCAAAACTCGCAAAAAAAAAAAGTTGTTTACAGTATTCAATATTCAAAGCTATTTTTTTCTAATATTCCTATTCGAAAATTTCAGTATTCACGCACCACTGGTTACAACAGAATTCGTTATCAACGGGTGCAACTGCAGCTCCAAGTCCCATTTTAGTGTCAACAAGAATGCGCCGACTTCCGCTTGTAACGCGTGCTGTCACGACAAAACCCTTTAGATAACGGCATTGGCAAAAGGATTCTTGCGGGGCTCGGTTAATTGACTTTGGCTGCTGCTGACGCTACAGCCCAAAAGAATGCTTCGATCAGTGCCCGCATTCAGTCCTGCTCGGAGCGAACTGGGAAAACTGCCCACTTACGGCGTGGATCATTTCAAAGAGGAGCTGCTCCTGGTCTGGCTTCATGTCGATGTCCTCCAGTTCGAACTGGATCGTCTGCCGCGTCCTCTCCACCTGGGAAGAGAGCAAATGCATGTTAGCCAGAGTTCCCTTACTGCGGACAAGCTCCTTATCCATAACGGCTTAAGAAAAGTGCAATCGAAATTACGCGAAACAACGGTTATAGACCCTTTACGGAATTCAGTCTGGCCACTTTGATCACTCGTCATCATCTGAAAAATGGCATATGTGCCGTACTAATGGCGGCCTTCTGTTTACTGATGAAGGAACATGTTAGAGATACTCCTAAGCCGAGGATTCGAGACATTAGCACGATGCGCAGCAGGAATTAAATGCAAGAGCTGCGTAAGCGTTTATTTTTATAACTCGGCCCCAGTCCATCTATTAGTGGCACAGAATCAACTACGAAGCCCCTTGATGTATAGAACCTTATCAAAGTGTCTATCTGGGTTGGCACTTTGTTCTGACTGATTGCATCTTTGTGGCCATCGACATTGAAAGAGGTGATCGAGAAAGAACTGTACAGTGAAGAGCACACACTCATTTGCCGTTCACTTGGAAATGTGACGGTGCCCGATAAAATACTGCAGGCTACAGGTTCATTGATGCCGTTAGTATGGCAAAAGTTAGACCACCCTTTCAGGCACCAGATGGAACTGAATTTCGGAAAGAGTCTATTGGCAGACACGTCTGGGACACAGACTCTTGGAGAACCAACTCGGCCAACTTTCCTCCAACGAACGAGTGTTTGGGATTTAATGCGGTGTAGCATGGCAGCATGTGGAATGAAGGCTCATTCTGCAGGTACACCTTAAAATACCGGGCAAGCACCCACTCAAAATTTAGAGATCGCGAAAAAATGGGGGATGGGCGCTTGCCAGGCATCGATTTTACATATCAATGTACTCTGCATATTCCCTCAGATCTTACAAATTTGGAAATGGGCACTTATTGTGGAATGGCTGGATGCGCGGTATTCTACAGTATGTAGACACTGGTCGCATCTTAGTTCTGTCAGTTCCTACATGGATGGACCACCCTATCAGCATACACTTGTGCAATTACTATGTGGGACATGCTGAAGAGGCCAGGTAAGTAATTATACTGCATTGGCCAGGTTGTCATCTCCGTGGCTGACGCACAAGAAGCCATTTTGAGACATTCTCATTTCAAGCCATCTAAATATCTACACAAGAGCTAAGCTTGGCTGAAAAAGAACTCTGTATAGTTCTGACATTATGCATAAAATCAAAGTGATGTTGATTTGTTTACTGCAGATTTTGCAATTGAGACTGTCGTTATAACCGCACTGCCAGCTCCAGTCTGTTAAAAGTGAGCTTAAGTTACATTGAAGGCATACCAGTGGAAGTGTGTGACAAATTGGTTCGTTATATCTAGGGTTCCGCGTTTTCGGAGTTTATTTCCCATGAAATTCGTATGTTTTTTGGAGTTTATTTTTTGCTGAAAAATTGGAATTCATGAGAGGTTTTGTTAGATTTCCAATTCCTTAAAATTTTGAGTAAATCTTACCGTGTTCCCAATTTTTAACCTTGACGAAGTAAAATGCAAACTCCTTCTACCAGTAGTTTGATTTCAAAGGAAATTGAAGTTTCATTTCCTCTGTACCCTGATCTTGCAATTTTATAAAGTTTATTTCTAAAACATTGTCTTTTTTTGTCTTTTTTGTCATTATGGACTTGAAATTTAGAGTTTTTTGGACAAATCCTAATTGATGAAAAATTTACTGGCGAGCGTTTTTCGGATTTATCTGAAAACACGGAACCCTAGTTGTATCCACTTATTTGCCATTCCAGGGTTTGTTACAACAGGGGGTGAAGGTGACCTTCCTATTGGTAAAAACTGCCACAGCGGTGGTTATCGAACCACCAGAAACCTCAAATAACCCTCAAGAAAAACCAAACAGCAACCAACAGCCAACACACACCCAGCTTAATTCACTCTTTGTAGCGGAGGAATCCCGACGCTACTGCATTAGGAGGAGAGAACTATATCGGAGAACAAAACCGACGCAGGATTTTTAGTCACGCCGACATTTGGTATTCTACACTCATCTGTGGCGACAACTCAATAGGTCACCATTTCATTAAAACTGTTTAGATTATTTCGCTTTTCGCGCTTAACCTCCAAGTTCAACTTTTTTAGGTTCAATGCCGCACGAGTTCAAAGGTAAAAGGACCCTTGGTTGTTTGTGGATACAAAAACGAATGACTATGATGGTGGCAATGACATCCGCGATCCCTTCCGAGTCAACAAAGGCCGACTGAGCTTGGGAGCGATCCTACCTCCTCCTCTTTGAAGAGGGGCCTGAGGACGACGTCCCCCAGGAGCTTGACCACGGGTCCAAGCCCCCTCGCATCGGCCGAGGCGGCGTAGATCATTGTGTCTCTGGGCAAAGGAAGGATGCCAACACAGAAACAGAGGGTCAAGAAATTACCCGCACCCCGTCTTAGTTTGAGTGAGAGCCTGGCGGAAACGAAAAGAGAGAGCTACGGGCTTTTAACTTCCCAACCAGGCACACACGCTCGTGTTCATAGCTTCAGCCTTGCTCGCATAAAGAGTGAAACAAAGTGGAGACACCTCTGGATGGATGCTAGCAAGCAGCTACAGACATATTTATACACACCCCCGGACAAACTTCAATATCTCCCCTCCCACACCAAATTTCTTGTACAAAGTACAGAAACTTATTAACCCGCCCCGCCCCGCCCCGCCCCGCCCCGCCCCGCCCCGCCCCGCCCCGCGCCGCCCCGCCCAGCCCCGCCCAGCCCCGCCCCGCCCCGCCCCGCCCCGCCCCGCCCCGCCCCGCCCCGCCCCGTAAAATTGCCGTAAAATTTTCAAAATTAAACTGTGGCTAATATGCGGGACTAGCGTATGTTAGGCAGAGATGCCCTGACAACCTTCATTAATTATTTATCATTCTTTTTTTTTAATTCGTAATTGAAGAAAGAATATTAGCCTATAGCATGGTTTGCAAATTCACTTAGTAAGGTACAGCTGGGTAGTATCTCTACACGTTTTATTTCATGTAAAATCTGTCATGTAAAACCATCCCAAATGACTTTCAGAGGTCACAGTTCGTAAATGTACATAGTTAGATTAATATTAGCTTATAAAAGGAAACGTGGAAGCTTGGGAACAACCTTCAACAGTTTGGCTCGGCTTTCGTATAAGCATAGTGCAACAATAGTGAAAGGCTTGGAGAAACCATTCAACATTCGAATGGATAATATTCAGCCAAAACCGCTATTCTCTTCGAATCTGCTTCAAACTCAAAATCCACTGTTCGCGCGCGACAAACATTCTTAGAAGTTTCCCACATATATTTGTGTATCGTGGCAACATTTCGTTGCGTTTCTGACAAAATGACCTACTGGCATCTGGGACTATCCTGCACATGTGTGCAGCCTAAAACCCGACACCAGAAAGTGCTCGTCCATGAAAACGACAGTTCCGCGATCGCCATTGGAATGAGAAAAGCGGGCCGTCTCTTTCGGACGCCCAACCTCGAGCGTGCTCTCGTCACCTTCCGACGCGCTCCGACTCCGTGTGCTCGCTAGACACTCGGAGACGCCCAGGCGTTATTGAAGGCGGGAAGCTCATTCTCATCTTGTCAGCGACTACAGTTCATGAAAAATAGTGTGACAAATCGCTGGGCAATTGTGTTGCACACGCGAAACGTTTAGCGGTACTCTGAGTTTCCAGACGCTGGATGCGTACTTCCGCAGCGCTCTTCCTCAGATAGTTCAACGCGTGCCACGTGTACACTCGATACCCGACCCTAGAATGAAGCGACAGTACCGCTAATCAGGCCGCTAAACCCGGCAATCTTCTGGGGCCTCTAATACCCGTGTCCCACTAGAGCGACATACAGAAACAAAAGACAAAGACAAGCCTCAAACCAGGGTCTTTCACGATTTGAGACGCTTTGTAGAGTAACGGAGGCTATGCTCAAACATGAGCATCATGCACGCGAGGGTATCTTTGGCAGGCTTGCAATCGCTCGTGCTTACTTCGCGAGCACCGAACGACTAAACGCCTGCCAAAGGTACCATCGCGAGCATGCTGCATGGGTTTGAGGCTTGTAGCTGTCTTTTGTCTCTGTCTGTCGCTCTAGTGGGACACGGGCATAATACTTGCAAGCTCCCCTGCCTCCGTGCAGGGGGCGATCAAGCTCCTCCTCGCACACCCCTTTGGTCGATTGGTCGACCTCCACGTCGACAAATCAGTGTCGAGCCTCGCGGCCACCCTCTTGTCCGGGCATCTACCTTCTAGGCCGCTGTCCGTTTTTTTGGCTCCCTCGCTTTTATCAAATTACCTATTATATCATATTGTTTTAACATTGTTAACTTCGTTATAACAAGGGACTACTGTAGTATCAGCACCCTGGTTTTGATCATAAACTAAGTTTTCATACTTCTGTAAAACAATATTGACATTTTCCTTTTCCCGAGGGGGTGGTTGCGTCATATCCAGACTTCTGTGCGCAGTTTTGCGTTCGGTTACCTCCGGGCTTGCTTTTCGCATCCTTTATCGTGCTCTAAGCAGGAAAAACGTATAAGAACTTGAACTAATTAACCAAATGCACGTCTGAGATTTGAAATATTCGTACAACCCTCCACCAGGGGAGAAGGAAGAAGAGGGGTTCCACGGCCCACCTGGATCCCTGGCAGTCGCAGATGCCACCCTGTTTTTCCAGTTCCTGCAGCACGGCATCCCGGTCCCGAAACTCTTTGGTGGACTGTGAACAAAGAGCGGGTCATCAGGACTACTTGCATGCCAGGGCCATTACACTCCATTGCAGGTCAAGCTAAGTGGGACAAGCTCGTCCCGCAAAGCCCTTCACTCTTTCCACTTTAGCCGAGCGAACGCCGGAAAGGAAAGGGACTCGTCCCCTGCCTGGCGTTCGACCTGCTAAAAGTGAAAAGAGTTCAAGAAGAGTGGCTGTTCGGGGTAGTTGGTCGGTCATTTCATAAAGATGAGTAGGAGGAGAGGACGGGACGCAAACAAAATGTCTGTGTCCCGCGTCTCGTTTGTGGCCCGTCCTCCCTTCATCCTCGCCTTTCCTGCACACGTGCGAGTTTTATGAACTGAAAAGAGTGGACGGTTTTGTAGGACAAGCTTGTCCCGCTTACGGACTACCTGCAACGGACTACTGTAAAACCCCGTGCGAAGGCACTTCCCCCGAGAGATTGCCCATCTTGTTTTCACGGGTGAACATCGTAACATAAATAAAAATTTCAAAGCATCGCCCAGCACCCCCTCCCTCCCCCCCTCCTCCCTCCTTCCCTCCCTCCCTCCCTGATTCTCGTCATATATCGTGCAATTCCCGACGGGAATGGGATCAACCGCGCCGTCTTCGGTACTATTACGTGTGACGAGCGAATTCCAAGTGGTTCCCTCTTGTTTATTGCGCCGTGACGCATGAATCTGTTGTGTACGCGATACAGTCGAAGCTCGTTAATTCGACTCCCGTTATTTCGATCATCGCATTAATTCGATCCTTCCGTTTAGCACCGTCAGAAATGTACAGGCTTCAATAGGCAGAAAACCCCGGTATTTTGATCTGATAAATATCCCCAACCCGATAATTCGACCCGGGAGCCAGCATCTTCGTAACCGGGAAATATTTTTTTAGCTAACACTATAAGTTTAAAGGTTAAAACGGCGCCTCAGAACACAACACGCGTCCCTACCCATATTGGCAAACAGCCGTTGCAGCGAGCCCGCGCCTGATTGCGACACCTCCACAGACGCACGATGCCCGTCGGCGCCCCCGACGCTTCGAGCCGGGGCGCGCTCCGTGAAAGAGCTCCCGCGCAGACAGGTGCCCTTTCGCCGGAGCATCGCGCCGGAGAAAGGGCCGATTTGATTAGTCGAGATAAGACCCAGTCAGAGCGCACCGGCCCGATCACGTGGGGAGGCGCGCGGAAGGAGACGGGAGCAACGAGAGGGAAATGAGTGAGCGATGAAGTGAGAAAGAACGTCGGGAGGATGGAGAAGGGGACTGGAGAAAAATGAGCGAGCGATGAAGAGGGACCGTGCTGTCACGCGGTTTCTGGTTTCTGTTCTTTGGAGTGCGCGGCGTTTAACGCTCATACCAGAAAATGTCGAAAGAAAAACGAGGAAAGTACTCTTCGAATGATTTAAAAACAAAAGTTCACATACTCAACGAAGTTAGGGAGGGAAAATTGTCCAGAAAAGAAATTGCCAAAAAGTATGACCTCAAGAAAAGCACTCTTGCTACCTACATTAGGAATGAGGCAGCAATCGTGAAAGCTTTTGAAGAAGAGAAATTTGTGAATTCAAGAAAACGCCTTCGCAGTGCAGCCCATCCAGAACTCGAAGAAGCCGTTTACAAATGGGTGACAGAAGTAAGAACGCACAACCTTCCGATGACTGGAGACATGATTCGCGCAAAGGCTCAACAGTTCAGCGAACGTTTGGGCATCGAGGGATTCCGTGCTTCCGAGGGATGGCTCGCAAGATTCAGGGAGAGGCACTCTCTTATTTTTAAGCACGTGTGTGGTGAAAGAGCCGATGTGGATGAAGATTTGTGTGAAAACTGGAAGACGTCGGAGCTCGCACGTATTCTTGCGGAGTATGCGCCCGAGGACATATTCAATTGCGATGAAACGGCGTTGTTTTTCAAAGCTCTCCCTGACAAAACGATAACGTTCAAAGGGGATCCTTGCACTGGGGGAAAACGCAGTACAGAGCGGGTGACCGTGCTCGTGGCAGCCAACATGACAGGTACGGAACGTCTGCCTCTTTTGGTGATCGGGAAATCCAAGACGCCACGATGCTTTCGGAACATCCCGCGGCTTCCAACGGACTACCGTTTCAACAAAAAAGCATGGATGACACCTGAGATCTTTCCAGATTGGCTTCAAAAATTGAACCGCCAGTTCGCGTCCAAGGGGCGCAAGGTCGTGTTAGTAGCGGACAACTGCAGTGCGCACACAAAAATGCCAGAGCTGTCTATGATCCGCCTGATTTTCCTTCCACCCGCAACCACCTCACTCTTGCAACCAATGGATCAAGGAATAATCAAACACCTGAAAGGCTTGTACCGCAAGCATCTCATGGCAAGAATATTATTGCTTTGTCTGGACCAGGGTAAGCGCTATGAAGTCACTCCGTTGGCGGCGATTCATATGCTTGTTAAAGCTTGGACGGACATGCCAAGCCAGGTCATCGCGAACTGCTTTCGTCACTGTGGTTTCTCGTGTGATGGAAATACCGCGAGTTCGATGACTGCATCGGCTACTACGTCTACATCGGCAACTGCATCGGCTACAACATCGGCAACCACAATTGAAGATGAAAACTTTGACGAAGAGTGCAGTGCTCTAATGTCCACTCTACCCGAAAACGTTAGTTTCGATGATTACGTTGCGATAGATGATGGAGTGCTTGTGTACGGTCAATTGACTGACGACGAAATCATCGCATCGGTTCAGCATCCCGAGGGTCAGGAGGACGACAGCTGCGAGAGTGACGCCGAAGAGCCGCCGCCAGGCCCATCTCCTGCCGAAGCATCCGCTGCGCTTGATGTACTTGCGAACTTCGCAACGTTTCAAGACACCGACGGGACGATGTGGCCGCACATTGAGGATATGCGGAAATTTGTTTTTGCGCAGCGTCTGACGGGAATGCGGCAGCAGAAAATATTGGCGTTTTTTTCTAAATAAAACTCCGTCGTCGCGGTTGGCTTTTTGCCGCTTGTCGTGACGTACGTCGTTACTCGTTTTTGATCGATATTCGATCTATTTTTGAGGAACCGTCAGAGTCGAATTAACGAGCTTCGACTGTATCTGTTCTCGCCACATGCGAGTATGTAGTGGGTTCTTGCGTTATATGTCTGCGATTTCCACGCACAATATTGGTTCTTGTGGCACCCAAGTTTCTGTCAGTTTTTTGAGCATTTGCTGCACCATGAAGCACCAACCTGTTGCGTCCGCGACATCCCTTCCCACGACGATGAAGGAGCACATCTTTCATTAGTTGCTATACAATGTGCTTTTATTTCCATTCTGCCATCATAAAGGGTGTGAAAATAAAAAAAACTTATAAATAAATCTTTCAGCCTTCCCACTCTAGCGAAGAAGGAAGAGCAGCGGAGCTGCAGCTCCTGTTCTCTGCGGTGGCTTCCCAGGCGAGCGATCGGAGCTCGGCGTCGTTCTGAAGTCACCGCATCTCCTGTGCAAGAAGCAGACGACTTGCTCTCCGCATTGCTTGGATGCGTTCTAGCACAACGGTTTAGAATTTACTTGGCTCAGCAGGACATTCCCACTGTTCTCCTCGTCCTCCCGCCGGCTTGCTGTTTGAGTGCCAGCAGGTGCATTCGCCACGTACGTCATTAACGAGGAACTCTACAGATGATTGAGGCAACCAATTATCGCTTTTATATGTTGAGTTTACGACACGAATGAGGAACGCGGAAGCAGTCTCAGCAAAAGCACCCCAAACACGAAAAAATAAACATATATTACGCCAAATGTTTCTTTTATAGGGTAGTTATTGCTTTCCCCAGAAATTAGATGATAGGTGAACAAATGCCAGCAAGCTCTTATGTACATTTATATGCCATAAGGTCCTGAAAGAATGCCGACCCAAAATGAAAAGGTAAATTCTGTGTGTGTGTGTGCGCACGCGCATGTGCAGGTGTGCGTGCGTGCATGTGTCGGGGGGGGGGAGGGGGGGGCATTACAAGCTATGTGAAACGGAAACTCTTCAACTTCAAAGTTTCTTAACTTTTCCCTCACCACAGTCTCGAGTTTTAAACATCCTGATTAACTATCACCAGCTCGCCTGCACACTCACTGTCTTTTCGTTACTGATACATATTGCAGACACGGCGAACTCGCGAGTGCAATAAGTATGTGGGAATTCGCTAGGAACTCCCCTGTCACGGGTACGGCAGCAGAACGCGGACGCAGCGCATTCGTGCTTCACACCCAGCCCCCTCAAACTCGGGTGCCATGGGAACCAATATCACGTGCAAAAATCACAGGCAAAAAAAAAAAGTGCAGGAACGAATTTGGATGCTTCAGATTCGCGTGTCACGTAGCGATAAGCACGAGGGAACCCGAGGCGAGCACGCTTGTCGCGTACCGATACCGCAAATCACGCAATAGATAAAATTTAAAAAAAAAACAACGGGATGTGCGATCTTTGGGGGGCGGGCGTTTGTGAGAGATTTTACGCTGATTTAATGCCCGTGAGTGTCATATTTCAAATACACTCAACTATGCTCAGTGCCACTGTGCAAAAAAAAAAAGAAAAAAGATTATGTGAATGATGCATTGAAGCATTGTCTCGTTGTTGCCAGAGTTCTGATGAGTACTCTGACAAACAATCTGTGCATGTGCCATTTTCGGAGATGAGGCCTACACGCCGCTGACACAACCACATCGGTATGGTGGTTTCACAACAATAGGGCCTTTTAGCAAACCGTTACCACGTACCACGCACCACTGGAGCCTTTGAAGCATGCTTTTAAGCGCGCGCCCCGCGGTCACTGTATGGCTCAAGCGCACGCTTAAAAGCGTGCTTCAAAGGCTCCGGTAGTGCGCTGTACGTGGCAAGGGTTTGCTAAAAGTTCCTATTTTTTTTAAGATTACTTTCAGAATTACCTAGACAAACACAACACGGTAAACCACTGTGGCCCATAAAAAAGAATACTCCAATAAATATAGCCTTAAAAAAAAAAAAACTTGTTTGGCTAGTTTTGGCCCAACATGTGCGCTTGGGAGCAGGATGGCGCAGCAAAAGTGGATTGGCGCACAATGGCGCAATTGGCGCAGTGCTTCCACCCCTCAATGTCAACAGTAGAGGATGCCAATTCTTTCAACGTTAAAATCGTTGGACAGCTCCTTTAATGACATCAAAGGCACATTTCACGCACAACTAATACCATGCCCAAATTATGAATGCAGCTGAAAAAGAAGCTTCTTTAGAACAACAAACATACTACTAGCTTACCACATAGCTTTCACAGCTCCCGCTCTTCGATGCATGCCCCATACAGTGGGTGCGACCTTCGCGGGCGGGCGGTTCGACTTACGTTAAATGCGAGCTTTTCCAGGAAGTGCGAGATGCCGCTGGGGTAGGGGGCCTCGTACCGCGAGCCAGAGTCGATCACCACTGCAGCAGAGCAGAGAGGCCAGCAAGAGCGTTGAGAAACATCACTGGCTGAACAGGCTGCCTCTTTTAGGCTTAGGCAGCTGAAGATTAGGCCACTGTTGGTTGCCCTATAGCAGGTCGTTATGGCCAGCCGTAGGGGCTACACTGACCTACCAAAATGAAAGTCAAATTTGGGGGTCTTATGTGCAAAACTGACAATGGGCACCTGGCACACCCCAGTGGAGGACCGAGGATTAATCTGACACCTTAGTTTGAGACCTGGAACTTTTCCGATCCTACACTTGGCCGAGCGCATTGCTAGCAAAAACACCATTTTTGATTGGTGAAACAAAAGGAACCGGATATTTAAAGAAATGGCTGACTGGCCAAACGCCGCTTACCTATTGATCCTATGATCCGAATCAGCCATGTATGTATCAAATAGTTTGTATTTGTTGCGATACATTATTCCGTGTGTCTCTCCTTTAGATCAACTCTCAATAAGATGTAGACTCATCCCTATCAAAATTTGCCATATTTTTTTAAATTGTAGTCCGCAAACTACTGTAAACTTCCGAAAGAACGCCCACCTAAAATGAAGAGGTAAATGGTGAAAAACATGGGAAGGGCTATCTTTAAAGACGCCACAGGAAAACTTCATAAAAAATAAATGATGAACACTGGGCACCTGCCACAAACTACATGACGCGGGAACTGATACTCCAGATCGCGGTCACCGCGAATTCGCTTTTCACGATGCGATAAAACACGTGGGAATTCGCTACGAACTCCCGTGTCACGGGAAAGGAAACCGCAGATTTATGCTTTACCGTGCGAAGGACCCGCAAAAACCCGCCGAGAACTCTCATTTCACGGGAACGAATATTGCAAGTCGCGGGCACAGCAAATTCAGGTTTTAAGCTGGAATAAACACGCAAGACCCCCTTACAAATCTGCCTGTCACGGGAGCCGATATAGACCACGCAGATCACGGACGAAAACGCGGGAATCTGCTACAAACTTGTATATTACAGGAACAAATGCTTCCGATTGCGAACGCAGCAGAATCATATTTCACGATGCGATATACAAGCGGGACCACGGGACCAACTCTCGTGGAATCGAGATCACACGCGCAGATCGCGGACAAAGACGCGTGAATTCACTACAAACTTATGTCACGGTAACGGATACCGCAGATTGTAGACACAGCAGATTCGCATTTGCGGGACCACGGGACCAACTCTCGTGGAATCGAGATCACACGCGCAGATCGCGGACAAAGACGCGTGAATTCACTACAAACTTATGTCACGGTAACGGATACCGCAGATTGTAGACACAGCAGATTCGCATTTCACAGTGCAACATACACGTGGGAACAACTCGCGTGTTACGGGAGCCGATAACGAACGCACAGATCACGAACAAAAACGCGGGAACCCGCTACGAACTCGCTTGTCAGACGTGCCGGTACAGCAAATCGCACATTTAATGCGATTCCCGTCGGACATTGTGTGATGTCTGACGGGAATCGAGGGATGGGCGATGTTTTCGAATTTTTATGTTACAGATATTTAACCAGAAAAACTTTATGGCCGATCTCTCGGGGGCGAGCATTCTATCAGAACTTTATGGTATGCGTGCATGAAAGTTGATGTTCTATGATTGTCATCAGTGCAGTCGTTGTCCATTGCGGTAGTCAAGATCATGCTCCTTAAAAGCTAAGACTGTCAGTGTGCTTCTTTCACCCAGTTTGGGTGGAGTTACATGTGGATGACGCCAGGGCCGTAACCAGGGGGGGGGTTAGGGGGTTCTGACCCCCCCTGAAATTTTTTTCTGGGTACGGCCCTGGTCGGTGCGCTGGCAGCCAGCCGATTTTAATCTCCACCTCTGCGCAAGCGCAGTGGCGCCGGTTGGCTACCGGGTACCAAACCGGGACCGGTTCTCCGGTTTGCTGTAACTCTCCATTATATGCCACCGATGCACATGATTCATAGGCGAAAATAAGACAATAGACATTTTCAAAATGGCCGCCATTGTCCCCGAAAACCCCCCCCCCCCCCCGAAATTTTTTTCTGGGTACGGCCCTGGGTGACGCACATAGTAACTCCACTCAAACTGAACACTGGGTGAAACTAGCTTGATCTTGATGGCATAAACAGCCACTTCTTGCAGTTGCAATATCATTACTACCGGTAAAAATGTAGCTGCACAGTCTTGCAGGAACGACGGTCACTATGCTTCCAAACTGAAGAGGAACATTCGGGATCCTTATGGTTAGTTCAAAAACTATAATTAATGAAAACCAAAAAAATATGACAAGACAAACATTCGTACATACTGTTTAACTAGTCAGTCTGGAGTGCTAGGAACAAACAGCTTACCAATTTTAATATAAGTAAGCTATGAATGAAGTAAACAATTAGTACAGACGACTATCTAAACAAAAACAATTTTTAGACCAAAACTTGCGCTTGCAGACTATACAAAGGGTGCAGGCTATACTTCGTAAAAACACAGTAGTTCCCCATCAGTGTTATTATGAGGAGAATAGCATCAAACACGCAAAAGGCTTCAAGTGAGCTAGTTGGTTTATCGTGCTACTGATGATGCCAGCTCGAACATACCGTAGAATACCACGCATCCGCCCATACCACATTAAGCGCCCATTATCGAATTTCTAAGGTTTGAGAAAATATGCACAGTACATTTATATATGTAAAATTGAAGCGGACAAGCACGCATCCCCCATTTTTTTGTAATTATTTCCAAAATTTGAATGGGCGCTTGCCTGATATTTTACGGTACACACAAGTACATGTAAGAAAGCGGCATGTGCGTTTTTGTTCACATTGGCACCAACACAAGGTATCGAATACCACAAAAAAGAAAATCTTCACTAGCCGTAAAATTCTGTAGGAACATCCTCCTCCGTGAGATTGTCCCTCCCGCCTTTCTGGCTGAATATCCTTAACATAAAAATCCCAAAACATTGCCCAATGCCCGATTCTCGTCGGATGTCAACTGCATGGTCTACTGCACTGGTACATGTGACGAGCGAGTTCCAGGCGGGTACCCGCGTGCTCGTCGCACCGCGAAAGGTGAATCTGCTGTGTCCTGATTTGCGGTATCCATTTCTGTGTCACGCAAGTTTGTAGTGGGCTTTGCGTGTTGTGCTCGCTGTCTGTGTGCACAACATTGGTTTCCGTGAAATGAGTTTGTAGCAGGTTCCCGCGCGTTTATCGCACCCTGAAACACGAATCTGCCACATTTGCGACCTGCGGTATTGGTTCCTGCATCACATTGTTTCTAGCAGGTGGCTCGCTGTTTACCACCAATTTTTGAGATCTTCCACCCCATATTTTTTTACTGTTTACCTTTTCATTTTGGTTGGGCATTCTTACGGGATTACACAACAGATTTAAATGAATGAACATCGGGCCTCATGTAACCCTACGTAACGAGCGCCATAGCAACTAGGTGGTGCCACCAGGTGAACTAAAGATGCTGGATTAATGGGTTGGCGCTCGATTGGGCAAAGACACATCCTTACGTAACTATGTGCGATTTTTGTACATAGTTATGCATGAAGTATTCGTACATAATTACGTTTGGAATGTACGAATATTGTTACAATCAAATAGCACAGTGTCACTTCAAAGCCGTAAAAAGAGCCGTTTCGGCGCAGGTCACCCTCGCGATTTCAATGCCATAAATAAGCGAAAAGAACCCTAGCCTCGATGAAGAAGAACTTTAAAATATTATGGTTGTTCCATGCAATGTGGATGCTACGAACGTTGCAGAACCATTCTGCAAGCCCCCAACGGCTAAAGTGCAGGTGACGACACCACCACCTCTCACCTCCCACGGTGCAGAACTGTCCAAACTTGTTCTGGGAGGCCACCTTGAGCCCGTTTTCAAGGGTGGTCACCTCGGTGGCCTGGTCGTGGGGGGAAGGCACCGCATATACGGGCTGGGGAAAGCCCGGGAGGGGCTCCGACAGCGAGATCTTGGTGATCTCGTCCTTGGGGGGAACCGCACTGGACGTGCACAGGGCGCGCCTGCCCGCGCACCCTGTGCGCTGGCGGGAGAACGTCCGTCGCCTGCAGAGCCGAGAGGAAAAGGTGGCGTGTGTTAATTGGGAGCCGAAGCACTTTGAAAATTTTGCCCCCTTGCACGTGCTACCGTGCAAGAGGAGTGGTAACGCGGTATTGCGCGTTGGTTTGCAGCGACGTTGCATGGACAAACTTGGCGCGCATTTTATGCCTCGACGGCATGATTGTTGTCGCGCGAAGCGTCTCTGAAAGAGAGCCCGGGCAAGGCTGGTGCTAAAGTGGGAGTGGAACGTAGTGTGCGCAGGTATTGCAGTCGCATACACTGATTTGGATCCCGCTAATTTGCACCCCCTCATTTCCTCTGAAGTAGGTGCTCATTCCCTTCCCTCACTTCCTGTACGTATGTGTAAGCGTGCTTGCTAAATGCCACATCACAAACATTTATGGGACAGACAAAGGCACGGAGGGTGCCTTTGATACACAACTCTCGCACAAACGAGGTGGTCTGCCTAGCTAGGCTCCCGCGTCTGGGTCTAGGTCCACACTCTAGACAATCGAGAGATGGGAATGTAGATGGCCGTGGCAATGAATTTTCACTGTCACATACCAGAGGGCAGTGCAGGTCACAGAATGGACAAGGGTGCTGCGACAGCATTTGGCTAGGCTGCTAAACAGATAACCGGCGTTGGCAGCAGCTGCAAAGAACTATGGGTACTCTCATTTCTGTTTCGTAGCTAGCAGCCGGCGCAGCACTGTGGAGGCTACAAAAGCATGTGCGGGTGTTTAAACCAATCAATTCCAACCACCACCTTCTGCCGCTAGGTGGGAACAATTGTACCTCGGATTTTGTGTACAGTGCATGTAAACTAAATACTTCTGCGTGAAGGGGTGCCTTTACTTGGACCCGAACCGTTTCATCGACCCAAGCTTCATCGACACTGAACATTCATGAGCATGGCCCACCTGTCTGACCCGGCCCACCCATTCACGCCGCTTGGCGGCAAAAGTTTGCAATGACTCATTACTGAAAAAGCCAATTTGATCTTTCGAGGTAACAAACTATCGATCAGACTGTCTGTCGACGAAACGTCGTGCGATGAACTGATTGCCTGGGAGATCGCATCCCGTGTTCTCGAGGATGCCTTGTACAACAAGCAGTGCTCACCCCTTCGCGGATTAATCAAGAACTTATCCTGGCTGTCAACAAACTTTATTAGAAATCGTTATTTCGAGCGGCCCCTACCCAAAAAAAAAAAAAAAGGAACACGCTGTACTGGCCTCCAACAAAAGTGGGCCATGCATAAACGGGCACAGACGCTTGGCTGCGCGACAGGTCACCTCGCTCCGTCGCTCGCTTAACAGCAACGGCCCATCGCTGCTTCCGTTCTTGGTTTCACAGAAACCAGAAGATCTCATGCCCTTTATGGCTTGCATTAGAGCAAAGTACCACAGAGCAGTGAACCACTTTCACCGCAAACACAGCCCGGCCACCATGCCTAGAAGGGCTCTCGATGCAGCTGAACGAACCACGAAAGGCACCGGACGAACCGGAAGCGTGAAGTCACGTGGCGCCTCATTTCGTATGACGAAACTTCAAGCTGAAATGCCGGTAACCTATTTAGCGAGGAGGCCCAATGTCACGCGACCTCGACACCAATTCAGTTTCCCCGCTAAATTCAGAGCGAAAAATCACGTTGCACGACTGGATGTAACATCTCTCGGGTCTAAACATATTTACAGCATTGTCATTTTGCCAAATTCTCTTTTGTAAATCCAGCTATTGGTTTTCCCTAATAGTTTTACGACAAAGTAGACAAAGAGGAAGTGTAGCAAGCTCTTACTCTCTCTTAAGTACCAGTCGTCACAACAGTTCACAGACTTTTTGCGTGCCGATGAGCTTCTAGCAATCACGGTGAGTCGTGTTTCAATGACGGTGGTGACGTAAGGGAGCGCCACTCGTGACATCAACCAACTAAGAGTGTTCTCCTGCCCTTCCACGGTGCTGGTTACCATCATTTCAATACACTGTCAAAAATTCTAATCTCTCTCAAGGTGTAGGACGAGCTTCGATGGAGAGCTCCGGTTAACAAAGACGTACAGTGGCTAGCGATGTGAGCTAGATTGCGCAAACACCGACCAGGCAGTACAAACTGCGCTGTCGCGCGGCTGCCATGCGTGCGTCAGGGGTAGGGAGATTCTGCGAGTGGCGGGTAGGTACACACATTTAAACACCTCCACTCGCTGCCTCCTAGACCGCATGTTCTGTGCTGCCTCGTCACTGTTTGCGCAATCTAGCTCATATCGCTAGCCACTGTACTGGAATTGTCACATTGACCCAATGTATCCGAAAGAATCAGGCGCATTATCAAACTATAGACTTACCTCACACTACACTGCTACACGTTTGTCACTACCATTTTTTTTTTTTTTTATGCCGTGTCTAGAGTGTTTTTGACGGCACTCTTGTGGAGCGTTGAAGTGCTGTGTGACAGCACTTTCACTTTCAAGTGCCGTCCGAAAATGTTGAGATTAGGCTGCACTTATTCCGGCATGTATTTTATCAGTCACTCACCAACAATATGTTTTAACATAAAGTGTGAGCAAGACAAACGCTACAGGAGCGAGCAGCAGGCTTTCTTATATGTTTACGCTTGCGCTGTTCAGGCGTGCAATTTCTTCAAGTTTGCTGAAATGGCACGCTCTCGAAGGTTGCGAGTGTGACTTAAAATAAATTTGAGTCTAAATCTCACATTCTCCAGTTACAACAATAAGGGCACGCAGCATTCAATTTAAATATTTCTGAGACCATGGACTACTAGCCATTACCATTACGCTATTGAAACGAGCCAGGGGTGTATTTCTTTGGTATTCCGATATCATTTGTTATGAAGAAAGTTTTACGGAATCGGAGTATCATTATAATTATCAATTTTTACACGAAGAAGTGCAGAGGAGGTATGCATTCTAATTTCGACCACAAAGTGCCAGAAGCAAGACATTCATGATTCTTCATTAAAGAACGGCATTTGCTCGTTAGGAGCACCGTAGGTCGGCACTCGGCAGCGGCCGTAAAGTGCCGTCGGACGGCACTTGAACGCTCCGCAAGAGCGCCGTCGTACGGCACTTTAGAAACTGCGTTTTCTTCTTTTTTTTTTTTTTTATTATTATTATTATTTATTATTAATCGCATATAGCGTTTTAGAGCTTTCGGTTTGAGAAGATAGTTCAACCGCAGACTCGCGCGGCGGGGACTAGAAAGTAGCAGCGACGTGATAGCGCGGGAGGCTTCACGCAGGATCCGACAAGTGTCGGATAAACGTACTATTAAAATATATACTAAATACGTGCGGAAACTTGGGATTACGTGCGCTTTCTCGGATAGGAATAAATCATCCTCCCTAGATTTGTCACTTAGGCTGCGTGAACTGCATCGCGGTAAGGGTGAGCGGAATGCTGCAGGGGACAAGTCACTCCAAAATATCCCATAGAGAACAAATTAGAAACACGTTAAACGGAAAACGTGTAAATGAAGGGTCCCAGAACACTTACCCCTTTAAAAAATCTCGCACACCTTTCGGCAGCACACGCGAGGAACCAGACGCCATCTTCGTTTCTTGCGCTCCGTGGTGCCCCCTGGCATTGACGACGAGAAAAGCGAACGCATTCGGAAATACCGCAGTAACTTGTGAACTTCTTCTTTTTTTAACAATAATTTACAATAAAATAATTTATTCAGCATTTATTTAAGTAGTTTAATCACTTTAACTAGAAATTTAAGATATATTTGACACTTTTGCATCTTTCTTCACAATAAAAGCAGACAGGATCCGGAAGTCAGAAAATAGGTTTCGGTTTTGTTTGCGCTCGTTTACGCTCACCCGTCCGGTAGTCTTTTCGTTAGTTTGTACGCTTGCTGGCGACTAATAGGAATTAGACAGAGGCAATACTCCTAGTCCTAGGACTAGAAATTGTATATTCATCAACTGACGTGTTCCGTGATATGGCAAGCAATCCTGATAAACAACCCGAAAATAAATAAATTAATAAATCAAATCAAGCTTCCTTTTTTTTTTTTTTTTTTGAGGGGGGGGGGGGGGAGTACTTATTATCATTGGTTTCTACAGTTTCATGTCGGTTGCCTCGAGAGCAACCGACATGAAAGTGTAGCGAACAGCTCGGGCATTCGGACAAGCGACGGGCAGCGCTGGCCGGCTCCTTCTCCAACAACGTCCTTCGTAAATTGTGATGTGGTTTGTCATTCGACTGGCATTCACAAAAGTAGCCATCGGGACAAACCAATGGAAGAGGTAGCGAATCCGTTTCTTCCGGGTTCGCTGTCGTTACTCTCGCTTTGGTTGCCGTGGACGCAATCGACGGAAATATGTCAGCCAGTCCTGGTGCTGGCAGCACTTTAGTCTCTCGGCTTATATTGGGGCCACTTATATCGTTTTCTTATTTATTTCCCTCAAAAGTAGAATTTGTCATTAGATGTTTAGACAGCATGAGATGAGCCTATGGTTGAACCTGATAAAGTCTTGGCGACATTGGTACACGCTGTAGATGAGAAATCGTTTCAGTGCTGTACAGTGATCTTCCAGACTGAAACGGGCGGGGGTGATTGAACCCAGGATTTCTGTGTACGGTGGGCGACTGGCTTCATGCCAGATGTGTCCCTATCACAACAGCTGTATTAGAACGTATGGGTGGGACCTGAGCGGCTCGCGTGAGGCGCGCTGTGTAGCAGGCTTGAGCTGAGCTAGTTGGTTCATAGTTCACTTACGGCCAGCTGAACTAAAAAAAAACATACACATAAAGAAAAGACCATTCACGCCGCTGGACTAACAACTGATTTTCTTTTTCCTCCTCTTCTACTACAAGCCACACTTGAGGGAACAATCCTCTTTTCCTCTTTTTTGCTTTCTATTCCACCTTAAAATCTTTTTTTTTTTCTTAGTTCTTCTTAAAATGTTAACCCCGAAGAAATCTTTTTTCTTTCTCGTGAAGCACGAGAGAAGGTGCACTGACGCAGTCATCGCCTTCTTCCTCAATGGCAAGTGCCTTCAGGATTTCACGTCCCAGTTTTGTTTTGTTCCTTGCCACGATGTTTACGTCGTAGAACAGTGCCGAACATTGACACGCACGACAATGGGTTGGCAAGTGTCCTCCTGCTGACAGGGTTCTCACTGATGCAGCGTGCTCCCTCGTCCGATCGTTAATGCATCGGCCGGTTTGTCCGATGTAACCTCGGCCGCATGTCAGCGGAATGTGGTATACCACCTCCTTTTCACACAGGGCGTATGGAGACTTGTGAACTGTGCCACACCTCTTCTCGTTGTCACTTCGCTCCTGGTTAACCCGGCGACACATGGAATAGGCTTTGTTTGGGGCCGAACACACCACCTGAACGCCTTGCCGTCCAGCTACCTTTTTTAACTTGTGGGTCATCCCGTGAACATAGGGTGCTACCACCACCGCCTGTCGAGTCTTTTTCTTTTCCTTTGTGCTTTTATCCGTGCACCCTAATCCGCGCTTGATGGTCCTGCACACCTGTTCGCTAATCGCTGTGTAGATCGTGACAGGTGTCGACAATAACGCCCTGCACACCTGTTCGCAAATCGCTGTGTAGATCGTGACAGGTGTCGACAATAACGCCTCGTTCACCCGCTGAGACTCGAAGCTCCATAGTGAACGAAAGATGGCGCAAGAAGACAGAGACCGGAAAAAAAACGCTGCTAACAACTGACGTTTTTAATATCTAGGAAGGGAGAAGGACGAATTTTGCAGTATAGATACAAAAGAAAAAAACGAGAAAATATTATACATCAAAATAGGAAAATAATAATTTGTAAGCTTTTATTAAAAGAATGGAATGCGTATCTTGCTCTCCCTAAAGATTAAAAATAAAATTAAAACCCAATAGAAACGTGACAAACAAAAACGTTTCCGTTCAATTTAGCGTAAAAATTTCCCTGGTAAGTTTATCGGGAAAAAAATTTTTCCCGCTAAATTTAGCGGTAAAAGTACTTCCATAAATCCCTGCATGCAACACGGCGCGCGTTGAGCTCTGGGAACTAGTTGGCCTGGAGGAGAGTGGCATGGTTTCGTTTGCGATCGACACGTCGGCAAAAGATTATACACAGAGCGTGGACTATTAACGGCCGTTATTTCATGTTTTCTGGTCCCGAGAGCGTCATTTGTGGTCTCTAAACTAACCTAAATGGCCGGACCTCGAAGCTTTGACACAAGCTCGAGACGTATAGCTTGTTGTATTTTTTGTACTTGAGACGCTCTGTTAGCGTTTCGAGGTATGTGGACGAGCCAGTGGTGGGAATCTCGACGTTGCGAAGCTCGGGGATCTTGCTTGTGTACGAATCATCGAGCTTGAGCCTTTACATCAGTGTTCTTGATCAGGAAGTTTGTTTGTTTCGTGCATCCAGACGAAATATAACTTTTTGCAATTACCGTTTTTCTCGAGTAAAGCTATACGTACTCCGGAGTGCACCTCGGACGAAATGGCTATACGCACTCCGCGAAGAGCTCATGCCGCTGAGGCCACCCTTTTCGAACGGCGCGTGTATCACATGGGAGCTCGTTAACACAGCCCCCCGCCTGCGTTCACGCCGCTTCGCACCGACAGTATCGGCTGCTAATTACAATACTTAACCAGTACACGCCGCTTCGCGGCGTCCAGCCGGCAACCCAAGCCCCGCTGTCCCCGATCGCACCTCCGGAAAAGTTTCGTCGACAACATTCGGTTTTTTTAGTGTTCATCGCAAAAAAGAAATGTAAATATCGCCAGAGGCCTCGACAAAACAAAATACTCGAGAAAAAAAAAAAGTAGGCCCACGGGGGGGATCGAACCCGCGTCCACTTGCGTCTAAAATATGCTTTTTTTTTTTTTTTTGCAAACGAAACAAGTTTATTTACATGTTATTTACAGACATCCTTGCAGTAGGTTCCGCAAACATTATAAAAGGCCAAATTGAAAAAGTAATTAAAAAAACGACAGGTGGATAGCTCGTATAGAAACGTTATACAAACTTTAGAGACGAATGAGAAAACAGATACTCTGAAAAAAAAAAAAAAAATACACTATCGCCGTGCGGTAAATAGCTGTCACACAAACCTGAAGTGCTTAGACCAGACTGGGTGGAAACGATTGAGAGGAAACGCAAACGGTACAGTATGAGACCGCGTCAGCGGTTATGCAATCTGTACGAAAGAAAATATATCAATAAATCGAACAATATAGACGCGCAATTCCAAGGGGGAAGAGCCACGGCCCACTTTCGCGCACCGCGCACCTCAGCCAACGCCAACGCGCCTACAGTTCACAGGAACTCGCCAGTTTCCCACGCCTGACGTAGTACGTCGTTGCACGCAGCGGCGACGCCCTTCCTCGAGTTGTCGCTCGATGCGCTCCCAATCACCCGCGTTCGCCTGCCGCGACGTCACCGAGAGCACCCACCCCAACGTGGACACGAAGTAGCTCCAGGTTGGACGCGCGTCGAGATGGCATTGCACCATTGCGGTACGCGACTGCCAGATGGCGTGCAGGCCCAGCAGCATCATAACGTGCGCCACCTCCGTCTTATCCCTCTCCTCGAGTTGCAGATACTTGAAAGCGCTCCACTCCACTTCGAAGGAGTCCCTGAGCTCAAACGTTGTCCTCATCTCGTCCCAGAAGAGGTAGGCATTACTATACTCGACTAGGACGTGCTGGATGGTCTCGGGCGCCCCGCAAAGGTCGCAGTTTAGGGACCACGGCACGAAGAACCCCTTGTGATGGAGCCAGGTTTTAACTGAAAGGACCTCCATGTGCATCCGGACGAAGAGGTCCCTTGTCGCCACAGGGACGGGAAGGATTCGCACGAGTTTGTAGAGTCGCGCCGCGTCGTCGAGCGTCGGTGGTTGTCTGTAGGGCGGTGGCGGGAACGATGCGGAAACGGCATCCTAGTACAGCCGCCTCTTTCCGACGGTCGCCAGGTACTTCCAGGAAAATTGGGCCTGCAGAAACTCGATGGAGCTGGCGATTTCCTTGTAGAACCGCAGGGCGGCTCCCTTGGTCATGCGGCCACTCGTGCTCACCATCCAATTTCCGAGATGTGGGAATCCAAGGTGGTGCAGCACGGCGATGGAGGTCGGGTCCCTTGCATCCCGGAAGAGCAGGAAACGCTGCACGTGCAGCTTGACCACGATGTTAACGAGGCCCAGACCGCCGTTCTCTTGGTGCAGAAAGAAGTTGTTCCTTCGTGTGCTTTCCATGGCGGTCTTCCACACGAACATGGCCCAGTTCCGGTGTACCTTTCCGGCCTGGCTGCCCGGGCAGCAGACGGCCTGAGCCTTGTACAGCACGGCGGGTAGCTGACTGTGTTGCACACGTGAGCCCGGCTGAAGAAAGACAAGTTTCTGCACCGCCAGGGCGACAGCTTGGCGGCAACGGAGTTGGCACCGCTCAGAAATGTGGTTGTGACCATTCGTTTTATACGAGTTTAGCGGAGTGCGTATAGCTTTACTCTTTTCTTAATACGCCTGAGTATGCAAGGTAAACCTCGGAGGCACCATTGAAAAGCTTGGATCGAACACACCCGGTCGCTTTTCAGCCTCTTGGAGCGCTCTGAAAAGCCGGTGT